AATGTTGACTATTCTTCGGGTATCTCTATCATTTAATATTGGTGGTCTACCGCTTCGGGCAGCAACTGTGGTTTGGCTAAACTCTTTATATTTTTGTATGACGTTATGAACTGTAGATTTGGGTCGACCTAGAGTTTCTCCTATTTTTTGTTCGAAAAAACCACACTTCCAAGCGCCGACTATCTTGCGCTCAAAATCCGTAAGTTGGCAATTTCTGTGAATATTGGTTGAGTTTGACCTAATTTGTTGCACAAATAACGATGCAACTCACCCTTTACCTATGTCGATCACCCCCGATTCCAAACTTTTGTCCAGCGAGTGTATAATATAAATTTGAAAATGCTAATTATATGAGTATTTTTCATTTTATCAAATGCTTAAATAATTTTAATATTATTTTTTTTATTTTATAATATAATTAAATTTGTTTACTTAATATTATCAATATAATTAAATAAAATATATTAGCTAAAAAAAGAGTGAGATTTTAATTTAAAAATTTAAAAACATTTATATTAATATATTTATTATTACTTATTTTGATAAAATATTTAAATTATTACTCAAATTTTATTATAAAATTCAATACCATTCTTTTTTGGATTTTAAAAGGATTTTGAAAATTATGTTGCTTATATAAATATATTTATTTAAAGAATTATTTAACATATTTAACTTTAATTTCAACTTTTTTATTAAATTATTCATAAGATGTATCAATACTTTTATTGTCATTTATATTATAATATATTTGAATTCCAGATTTATATAAAAATATTTGCATTATTTAAATAATTCAAATAATACCAAAAATTGAATTTTGAGGCTATTTTCCGATATTTATTATAGCTTTTATAAATCTATATTTTTAAAATTATCAATATAGGATTGCGTTATTTTATATTTAGTAAAATCGAATAAAACTCATCAATTGGCCAAACTTAAAATGAATTGTTCATCTATCTCAAATTATATTTTTAGATTTATTGCCAATTCTATTTCAAATCATATTTTATATTTGATCCAAAACTTTATTTATTATTCTTTAATGAGTCATATTGTCGATCCGTCCAACTCAACAGAAAGAGTTTACGAACATAGCTCTGAGATTGCACAAAGCAGTATTATGACTATTTAATTTGGATTATCCTGGCAGGGGCAGTGCAACGATCAAGTTTCAATACCGTATAGTGCAAAGTAATGCGGTAGTAAACGTCTAATTAGTCACGCTACTTTTTATGTCTAATGTAATGCTGTGAGAAAATGTTATTAATAATATTTCATATCTTACGTTTTGATTGGTTTACCTTGTAATAATCATGCTAATGGCGAGTAAAAAGATCGTGGTAACACAAATAACGTAAACAGTAAGTATTAAGTAATTATTAAAAGTCAAGATTTTTTTGCTTGATAGCAAGTTTAAATTCATACACTTCTTAATGATGATTTTTTGAGTCTAATATTAAATTTCTTATCATAATACTATGCAACATTAAACACCTTCCGAAACCAATACACTATATGACTATTGAATATATCAAAAAATTCATACAGTAAACTATCCGAGATCAAGCAATCTCGTAATTCATCAATTGGAGTGTGCAAAATTTTGACAATAACCATAGAATGTAAACAATCAGACTTAAAGAGATAAAAACTGCATAAATTTGTCTTGGACTATTAATCAAAAATGCAGGGAAGGCAATTTTACATGTAATCTTGTCTCTCCATTCAATATTTTACCCTTACCCTGACTCTAATCGGATGTAATGAAAATTCAGAATCCAAATTTGAAATTTGGTTCCTATTTTTCTATTGATTTTAAGTGTGTGAACAAAAAACAGAAAATTTGAATGGAAAATAAAGCACGAATTTAATAATACCTATATAGATCTTTCGCTTTCCATTGTTGAAAAACAACTCGCGAAATACAATTTCTAAACAAGAAACTCAACGATAGACCCTATTACATTATGGAACGAGAAGCCAAAGAAATACATAGACGAATGAACATGTCCCTCTACGCTATATATGATCCCCCAAAAGTTCAAAATTCGAGAATAATGCGTAATGGTCGGCTGAGGAAATTATGGCAAATGCCGTAGGGTATACATAGGGATTCCTCTATCTAAACAAGAAATTTGGCAACAAAGTTGTCAAAAATGGGCATAGAAATATGTTATAGAACAATTAGAAGGCATTAGCTGATATTGGATATTAAAAAGTATCCCCATTGATTTACGCTTGATCATAAACAAAAACGGGTAGAATGAGCTAAATACGAATTATTTTCGGATAAGACTGCTTTTCAACTCTTCGGAACACATGGGAGAGCTGATATAAAGATGAACAGCCGATTTGTTCTATGCCTAAAACCGAACAAAGATTTTGAGTAGAGTGAGTTCTGTCTGCGTAAAGAGAAAGACGAATTTATTTTTATTTAAAGAAGTTATGAACGTTAAGCTATTCCAGAAAACAGACCAACCATCCAGGAACTGGATGACTTTATCAACTCTATCTATTTTACCTTGTTGCATGAATAGAGGATATTTTGTTTAGTTTCCATATTTATGCAGAGTGTATTGATTTTATTTTTTAACGTTATCATTAGGAAACATTGTCAAATCTATGCTGTTTGTATTAACCAATCAACAAGGTTCTTCTTTAAATGAGACGATTCAAAATGCTTATTAGAAGCTTGTGTCAATTAAGTATGTATAAACGACAAATTAAATTAAATTAAATTAAATTATAAAGCGAAAAAATTAGTTTTCTATTGAATACTATACTAATTTTTCAATTATATGCTGGTGGAGCATTATCAACGTTATTGAAATAATCTTCTTTAGTGTCCTGCTTGTTATAATAGTCGTTTATATGTGCTTCTTCTAATGATTTGATAATTACGATAGATGAGTCTGGTTTCCCGCCAATTTCAATAATCAATACCTTTATCGATATTATTATATGTACATGTATGTATATTGTGTTAGATTATCGATAATTAAAAAATCGATATAAATATTCAATAAGAATTATGTAATTTACCATCTGATTTCCGGAGAGTTTGTAGCTATCTGTTATTACACGCCAATTTAATTGTTTCGGATTGTCGATTCTATTGAATTCATCAAGTCTATGATTTATTGCTTCTTGCATCTATACCAATAAAATGTGCTTTGAATTCAGTAATATTAAAATTAATGAATGCACACTGACCGAAATAAATACCTTTCTATTATATCGTCTGTTAAGAACTATGTAAATAATAGTTACAACAACCGATATTACAGTTGCAATAGCAATTTCAGTAAGCAATTTTTCTGAAAGGATCAAAAACAAGATAAGGATCATTATTGACAGTATAAATTGTATTATTGGTATATATTTGAATAGTTTTGACGGACGAGCTGCATTTATCGTTTCATTGAATTGACGAATTCTGATGCTGAATAACTGGCGTGTCATCTTTTAATTGCAATTGTTTGGTGTTACTAATGATTGCGAGAAAATCATAACGTCAGGGAACTAAAATACATCTTTCACTTACATAACCGTCAAGCTCTAGCGAATATTGATCCAAGATTGTACCTTCTTCGGTGAATGGCACTCTTATCGATCTCATTTTTATTATGCTTATAGTTAAATCTCAAGGACTAATTAATGTCTGGTCTCGTATGAATGGAATGTTTTTATCGTAATTTAGAAGAAATCAAAACTTGCACTGATGAATTATAGAAGATGATAATATTATTTTAATCAATAATTCTTTAAACTAGCATACATTTTATCCACTACAAAGATACGTATGCAACAAGTACCTGAAAATTTTGTTTAATTGTGCAAAAGATATAAACTTCACTTGTGAGTAAATATATATATGACGACGAAAAGAACAACAATCAGAATTAGCGGTCGATAATACAAGTATTTATATCAAAATGAATGTGTGTCAGTTTTAATTGCTTATTTCCTCGTGATAATCAATTAATTTCCTTGCATTTGAAAACGCGAAAGAAAAAGCATATGCCGTTTTTCAGCGCAGCTTGCAAATATTCCTTTCTTCTCTGCTTTAAATCAATTTTTGAATGATGATCAAATGGTAAATGCAAATTGGATTTCTCCTTTTGTCTCATATACATGTACGTTCAATCATGGAACATGGTAATTAATTACGATAGCGCTATCTCCTTTTTTTATTATTTTAGGAAATCTATCCCGATATTTGGGTAGGTTTTCATTAATTATTTTGCTTCAATAACGATAGTAAAACCACATAAACTTCTCTCGGGATGAGAATTTTCATGCGAACCAGAGATTCACGTTTTGTGCAATGGAGATCATCGTTACGTTAAAGTACTAGTACATGTACGTGTATATTGAATTTATACGCAAAGTTATTATCAGTATTTTAAATTAATTATAATCGAATTTACATATAAAAATTAAAGAGACATCCAAGTGTGCCGAAAAAACTCTTTGTACGCTTTGTTATTCGTATATATAACTGTAAATAGCTCGAACAAATAAATGTTATTACATGTATTATGAAGTATTAGCGTTAATGTAAGATTATATTATATCATCAAATAATACATGTATATGATGCATGTCTTTCATTCCATTTAAACTTACACAAAAAAGAAACTTTAATATTTATAGCATACTGAACATATCTCAAATAAGTTAAAATTCATAAATTTGCTAAAACAATTTGGAAGAGACTTATATTAATGTTTAGCGCATAGAATTTTCATTTTTCAAAACTTAAAACACACGTTTCTTGTCATGTTATCTATGTATAACTGTTATATTGCTGCTTTCAATCCTTCAATTCGGTAGTTTTAAAGCATTGTTTTGAGGATTTTATTATCTTGCCAATCATGAATAAATCCCTCATAATTTCAAAATATATAGATCAAAATAGATTTAGAGGGTAAGGTTTATATGGAAATAAGATTAGTATTAGCCGAATTATTAGATTAAACTCTGTTTCATTTTAAGCTACGAATAATTTATGTAATTTAAGTCGGGTGATATAGGAATTAGCTTGTGATTTGATAGAATTTAATTTAATGAATTTTGTACATTCTGATGAAAGGCACCAATAGACTTATGAAAAATTGAATTAGTCATAATTAGCTGAATATCTTTTAATATACTTTGTATTTTCAGAGATAAACATGTACGATGATTATGCGTTGAAGCCTTTTGCAATTAACATTACATAATGAGAGGTTTTGATAGCTTAACTTCTACTAGTTAAAAAGCTTCAACATTTCTGCAGTAAATTTATCATATCAACGCTTATGAATCTTCCAAACGGTTATACAATTAATTAAACTAATTGATTAAGTTTTTGGAAAATAAAATGTAATACGATTGAGACGTTTCGAATAAATTTGTATTAATTTTTGTTTCAGAAAATAAAAATTCAATAATAAATTAAATCGTTCCTATAAAAGATCATTTATTAAGCTGAAAACTTTTTTATTGAATGATATAATAGTGAGAAAATAGAGATCAAGCAAACCAATCTTACTCAAATATGGGTTTTTATATTAAAAATAAAAATGCATAGATGTATTAATTATCCATCAATGATACATAATTAAAGTTTTGAGTTATTGCACATAAAGTAATTATGTTTAGGATAATGCACATTATTTATACGTGTACATTTACTTTCTTTTTGCCCATATCGATATTGTGTAATCATAAAAGCATCTTAATTGCTGTACTCAAACTCAAACCAATGACGAGTGCCTTCTATGTTTATAAATACATGTATAACATTGTATTACTAAAAGGGAAACAATCAACAATAATGTCGACTTCTAATTATCGTTATATAAATATCTAAGATAAAGATTTTTTTTACTGATTTTGCTGATTTTCATAACTCAATATTTTTAGTGTCTGTTTTCAAATATTAAGTTAAAAATTTCAAAATATGCTTAATCACAAATATTTATTTAGGTACTTGAATTTAATTGAATTAGTTAATTTTGCCAAGAAATTTTCTATAATAAAATTTCATTGTGCAACTCATCTTTATAAAATATTCGCCATTTGATAATGTTTGAATTTGCAGAAAAAAAGTTAAAAAAATTCAAAGTATAATAAAAGATATTAAAAATCCAGTTAAAAAATGTGAACCTTGTAATATTAATGAATTTCTTGAGCCAGTCTTGAATATTAAAATTGCTGAATCAACTTATTATATGCTGGAAAGATTTATAGATCAAGAACCATTTTGTCTCTACTTGTTAAATTATCCAACTGGAATAATTAAAAGCAATTAAAATAAGTTGTATTTTTTTATTAAAAAAAATTATTTAAAATTTTATTAGGATATGATTATTTATTAAGCATTTGTCTGCTATAACATATCTAAATTTAGTTGAAGCATATTTGAATAATTTAATTGAACAAAATTAATTTACCAGGTGAATTTGCATTATCATTTGGCCAATAATGAATTAATTTTTTCAGACAACAAAGTTATTCAGGTAGTTGTTTGAATAATAATATATAATATTTATCAAACAAAACTTTCTTTCTACAACAAATACCAACAATTCGTCTCAATTTCCAGCTCATAATTTTTTTTCAATTTCAACATAATTATTTACATTCTATAACTACAATTCAATAAACATCACAATTATATTCAAGAACACCTGAATTGAGTCATTATTTAGCTTCACCAATTGTTGAAAAGTTACTTCATTAAACTTTGTCAAACATGAAAAAGAATATCTAATATTAAATGTTATTGCTCATGTATACAAGCTATGTATACAAGCAACAAGTATTGCTTTTACAAGCTTTTTTCAGTTGCTGACAATTCACTCACTCGCACTAGAAATTGGTTGTTAGTGAAACTGCAAGCGTTGTTCTTTGTTCTAAAGTTGGATCGAAAATGGTATTAGTGAAAATTAGATATTATTTTATTAGAATTTCAAATGTTGATTTTTTATTATTTAATGTTTATCTTTCAATACCAATTAAATCTTTTTTACTAGCATTTATAGTTCAACGCGAAATATGTATTTAGCATACATATCAATATCGATATTTTGATATCGTTAAATTTTTATGCAATCAGCAATATGATAATAAACCGATTATGACATGAACTTGTTTTGTTCGGTTTAACCGAATAGAATCATCAACGGTGTGCGGTATCCACATGACAACGAGAATCTCATGATCAAATGATCGGATCGGGGTGATCTACGCAACATTCGATTGGTCATATTTAGATGAATCGAATGGTTGCTAGATCGATCATTAAATTGTGCCGAATAAGAACCCGACAAAAATAAATCTAACACTAATAAAATATTTTCGCAAAATAAAGGTGCCTTTATTTTTAGGAACTTTTATTTTCGGTGCTTGTAATTTTTTTAAAAAGCTTTGGAATTCTTATTTTCGGGGATTTCCTGTTTTCGGTCATATACGGTACTAAATATTTGAACACAGCTCTTTAAATTGAGCGATTAAACTGAAGGACAGAAATTAGGGGAACTTTATTTTATATAATGAAATAAAAAATCTTAAATACAAATTCCAATCTTTAATTTATTTCGTTTCGAATAACATGGTGCATTTATTTTATTGCAACATAAACTTCTACAGGACAGGAAGTCACTAAATTGAATTTATCTGGAACTGAAATCTTTTTGCTTTTGCTTACATATAATTATAATAATTTTTTAAGAATTTTACTTTTAAAATGAGTCTAAAACATAGTTAAATATTATTTATGATTCAGAATTCATTCAAACTCATTTTCCAAAATTTTTTAACAACAATCCATTTTAAGATTTTATGTTTCTACGCCATTGTGGCAGTCATTTTATAGATCTCTTAAGACATTCACGTATTGAGAGCAAAGGCAACTACACTCTAGTGGGTGCTATATAGCAAAAATTCAAATGGTCATGTCACCACCATTACTTTCCGAAAAAATTTGATCTATGTTGTTTTCTTTCATATGCTACATAAATATCTGGTTTCTGATTCAAAAATACTGTATTTTTTGTTATATTAGAATGCATTCAAAATTACAACGTATATTACTGTAAATCATGTAAAATGTAGTTAGTATCCTTTCCTGATTACATGTATTTACGTGCATATAATTTTTAACATATGAAAATCCTGCGTAGATATATATGTACAATACAGATCAAACATAAGATAATTTACTTGTGTTTAAATAGATTTACATGTACAGTGTTTTATACCGTTACGAAAAAAATGTCATTGATAAGAAATCACATTTTTTCTATACATTTTATATGAAATTCTATCACCATTCTTTTTCAAACTAGTCCTACATCTATTTTGCATGAATAATATTTAATTGTAAAAATTTCTTTGCCATTCAATTCTTCAATCAATATTTTTCAGCATTCATACTCTTAATCTATCACTTGATTGAGAATGGATGATGAATTCTATCTTTATTAGTTTTAAGCATATTTTTGTACGTAATACTTGCATTGCTTTTATGCAGTAAATAAAATATTTTTAACTTTATGTGTTAATATACAATATTACATAGTGTATTTTGTATCAGAGCAGGGAATTAAGATGGCATTGACTCATTATGTA